GCGACGGGAGGGGAGGAGGCGGCGGCGGAGGCGGGATTTGGAGTTTCCCTCCGCAGCAGCGGCGGCGGCGGCCCCTCCGCTCCAGGCGAGGCCGCCGCCCGAGGCTCTGGTGGCGCTCGGCGGCAGTGGCGGGGGCGCTTCCCGCCGCCCGGGCTTCGGAAACTTCCCGGCCGCCACGCGCGGAGCCGGCGCTGGAAGCCCAGCGGAACGGAGGTGAGCAGAGGTGAGCGGAGCACGCGGCGCCGGGCCACCCACCCCACCCCACCCCCACCCGGCCGGGCCGCCCTCCGACGTGCGCTCCTCCACCCTGCACCCCCAAAGTCTTGCCAACGCACACCCCACGGGGCCGGCGCGCGCGCCCCTGCGAGACCCGCCTGGTCCCGCCGCCGCACACCCCCCACATCCCGCCTGTGCGCCTCCCGTGTCCTCAGCCACGCACACCCCCTGCCACTTATGCGCACGCGGACCCGGGTCCCCGCGGTGCAAACGGCAGCCCCTCACCTCCCACCCAGCACTGTCCTCCAACTCGGGCCAGCACCCCCCCTCAGACCCTGCCACGCCTCAGTACACACCCAGGCACATACATATTCTCAACACATCCCTGCTCTCTGCACTAACACAGCTCCCCTCGCCGTGCCCCCACCATCTCCGACTCCCCATATGCTCGTTACAGACACCCCACCCACATTCCCAGCCCAGAGACACAGCAATCCACCTACCCCGAGCGAAGCCCCAACACTAACCCACGCCCAGGGGCTGCCACTCCTCACTTCCCTCAGCCAGGCCCACCCCCCAGCACACACTCAGACCCCAACACGTAGGCACACCTGCTGGATTCCCGCCCTCCAGCACCCCCCCCCCCCCCCGTGGCAAATAGCCCTCAGCATCCCCCAGCACATCCCCAGTCCCTCCCACCACCACCCCCAACACCTGGCACGCGGGCCCTAGAGGCTGCAGCATTTGGCCACAACCCTGCCAAGCGCCTCTGACTCGCCTGGAGGCGGCTTGCCATCCCCAGGGCCCCCAGGTGACTCCCTAAACAGACTTTGAGTCTCCCCAGCGACCGGTTTGGCCTCTTCCCTAAGATAAAGAAGGCACTTGGGGCACCAGGTACCGTGCTTAGATCTGCGGGCGCCGGTGGGGGGTCGGGGAGGAGGAAAGGAGAGGCAGGCATTGATAGGGACACAGTGCACGTAGTAGGTCGGCTCGGCGAGGACAGAATGCACACAGTGCGTGTATGTGTGTTTGCGCGTGTGGTGGGGGGGAGTGATGTGTGTGCACACGTGTGTTTGGGGGGGGGGGGGCAGTGTGCAACCCGCTGAGAGAAAAAGCAGGAGCAGCACCCGCCTGGTGCAACAATTGGTTTCATTCATTCACGCCGCCTTTATTAATGAGCATTTCTTCCCTGCGCGCTAGGCTGGTGCCAGGCCCCGCACTGGGGGGCAGGGGCCAGCTGGGGCCAGGCACACCCCACTCCTGCCCTGGAGGAACTCCCAGTCCCACGAGGTGAGCGACCAGGAAAAGCAGAAAGCCATCCCCGCCGGAAAGTGTATTTGGTGGAAAAGACACTGGATTTGGCAGGAACGCTGGCGCTGGGAGTTGTGTTCCCCGGCCATGTGACCGGGCCGCCGCCACTGCCGAAATCCTGCCACTGGGCCCGGCGGGAACAGGGCATTTCGGAATGGGGGGATGAAAGGGGAGGCGGGGCGTCGCATTCCGGAGGCTCTGGGGACCAGAGGGCACACGAGGCGCACGAGGGGCCTACTGGCTGCAACAGCCCGAGGCCTCCCAGGGGCAGTAGCGGGCGGGGCTGAGCGGAGCGGAGGCCAGGGGCAGTCGGGAGGGGGGGGGGGCGGGGGGGGAGGGGGGCCGCGGGCAAAGCGCCCACCCTGCAGAGAGCTCGCAGAGGGGGGACTGAGAGGCCCAGGCACACAGCCCACCTCTCCCCTGCCCAGCTCACTGAGGGGAGCAGGCTGGAGCAGGGTGAGCACCCTGAGTGGGGGCGGGAGCAGGCGCTGCGGGGGGGGGGGGGCAGGGGGGGCCCCCAGGGGGGGGGCGGGGGAAGGGGGCTTGGCGAAGCTCAGCCCTGCAGTGCGGAGGTGGCAACAGGTTCCAGTCGGTCCTGCTGCTGGCGCAGCGGGCGCTGCTGGCACCGGGCACAGAGCACTCGCTTTCCCGGTTGGAGGGCTTGCCAGCAGGATCAGGAGCGAGGTGCAGGGGAGACAAATGCCCCATCACAACCCACCCTGGGGCGGGGGTTGCTAGGAGCCCAGCTTCCTTTCCTTTCACCAACGCAGAAGCTGCCTCTCTCCTCATCATCTCCCCAGCCAGGCGCTAGCCACCTCCTCCAGAAGGCCCTCTGCACAAGCACTCTGGGCATCTCAGGAGTTCCTTCCTCCCTGTCAGATGCCCCCCGCCACACACTGCCTAATACACAGCCAGGCCAGGCACCCCAAGCTGGCACATGGCAGAACCCCTTGGCGCCTTCAGCCCCTGGCCACTCCGGGGTTCCACCCACAGGAGCATCGGGCCTGGAGGGACCCCCCAGGCTTGGGGCCCTTGACCAGGTGGCAGCCTACCTCTGCCTCTGGGAGGGAGGATGGAGGGACAGGAGACCCTAGAAGGCAGATTTCCTGCCTAAGAGGATGTGCACAGAGGGACTGGGCCCTGCTCTGACCCCCCCCTGCCACCCCAAACTTGGGCATTGCAGCCTCAAAGAACTGAGGTCCGGAGCACAGAGGAGGGAGACCACAACCTGGCCCAGTGGATGGACAAAGACTGGGGCGAGGGGTGAAGAAAGAGCAGAATGTGGACAGGATGTGGAGGAGGGAGGCCTGGGCTGAGGGAAGGGGGACACAACCCAGCCGCCTGAGGCCCCGGATGCTGGTGGTGGGACTCAATCCGGAGCCTTGGATATGGGAGACAATGACCAGAGATTCGACCCACGCTGGCGACCCACTGGGCCAGGGAAGGAGGAAGTGGGAGAGGGGTGACTTGAGGCAGCCCAGCTCTCCCTAGCATTACTTCTGGAGTTTTCTCATCTTACCGTATTTTCCGGCGTGTAAGACGACTTTTGACACGAAAAAAAAGTCAACCGAAAATCGGGGGCAAAAGACCAAAATTGCACAAAAATTACCTGCAGATCTTGACGGCAAAGTAAGTCTTTTCTTTGAAGTGGGAGGTAGTCTTATACAGCAAATATGGGCTCTGAGAGGAATCCGGTAGCTGTCTTAAAGTTGACAAAAACGGCCTTCCAGGGGCGTGAGCCCTCCACTCCGCATGGCCTGTGGCACCCGTCCTATGCACAGATCTCTGCCTTTTTAAAATATATTTGTATTGATTTCAGAGAGGAAGGGAGAGGGAGAGAGAGAGAAACATCAATGATGAGAGAATCATGGATCAGCTGCCTCCCGCACGCCCCACACTGGGCACTGAGCCTGCCACCCGAGCATGTGCCCTGACCAGGAATCAAACCCTGACCACCTGGTCCATAGGTCTGTGCTCAACCACTGAGCCATGCAGTCGGGCAAGCTCTGCCTTCTTTGACTTAGTTCCTTAGGGTCGATTCCCAAATGAATGAATTTCTTTCTAGCTCTGGATGCATATTACCAAATTCATTTCTGAAAGGGCCAACAGAGAATCCTCCAGAAGCAGCAGCAACAGAGCAGCAGGCCGGTTTCACAGCACCCCTGCCAGCACTGGGTGTTCTCATTTTGAGAACATTTTACTAATGTAATAAGTGGGAAGTGTTACCTTGCTTTCTGTTGTTACCTTGGTTTTTGTTTTTTGTTTTTTGTTTTGTTTTGTTCATTTGCCTTCCTTCCGTGCCTGAGGTTGAACCTTCCCCCAAGCCCCTTATACCCATTTGGGTTCCCTCCTTCATGCGGTCTTTGCTGGTGGTTCGTCGCCCGTTTATCTCAGAGTCGTAACCTTTTGATCAATTTGTATGAGCTTTATCTTTGCTCTACATTTCCCCTCCACTCGGCCATTTGCTTTAGATGGGTTTTAAGCTGAGAAGGGACACAGAACCAGTCTTTTCCGCACCTCATTTCATTGGCTCGGTACTTCGCACACGTGGTATTATCCCCTGTTACCTACGGACCCGTTCCCCCAGCCTGGGAGCTCCATGCAAGCAGTGTGCCCGCCTAGTCGTCATCCCGTGTGCATGGAAGGAATGGAGAGGCCAGTGGCCTTTGCTGAGCGAATGTTCTGGCGCAGGGCAGGCAGAGGGTGGCTGAGGTAAAAAGTCCTGGAGGCAGGGAGAGGGCTTTGCAAGCTGTGACAGTGACCCGGTCAAGAGCTGGCGAGCTCAAAGCCTTGGCCAGAGCCAGGCAGAGAGGAGAGTGTACAGATGTGAGGCTTAAGTAGAAATTACTCACTCTTGACTAGGCAGGAGGCAGAGGGAGAGGCTGGGGTGACTCCCAGGATGGTAACATGATAAGAGCAGAGCGCTGCAGTTTGGAGCTGGGAGCTCAGAGCTCCTACGTGCCCCTGGCCAGGCCTGTGAGAAGGAATAAGGGCGTCCAGAGGCTGCCCTCTGCCTGCCTGGCCCTCCCACCAGCCTCCGGCAGGGTTCTCGGCCAGGAAGCAGCAGAAATGGGTCTCTGGTCCCGTTTCTCCCTCCCATGATTTCCAGGGACATCCCACGGGAGCCCAAGGGGTAGCTGTAGTGAGCCCACTATATAGATGGGGCCACCGAAGTCCAGTCAGGATCCACAGATGGTCCAGGGTCGCCAAGCGAATAGGCAATCTCTGGGGCAGGGGCACTGGGCTCTCGTCCCCACCCCTCCCCCTGCCTCCGGGGGGCCTGGCTGGCGCCGGCCAGGGGAGCTGTGGCTGGCCCCCTGCTGGGCCCCTGACCTGCCCTTGGCCTCTGCCCTGGCCCAGTCCCGCTTGGGTGGAAGTCCCAGCTCAGCGCGCGACTTGCAGGGGGCCCACCCGACTGCTCTCGCTGGCACCCGTTGGCTAGCTCGACCCCTGAGCCCGCCCCCCTAGCCCCGCCCCTCTAAACGGTAACTCCTTGTCCAAAGGCAGCCGCTTCCAAGGTGGAAGCCAGGTCCTCTGCTGAGCAGCCAGCGCGCCTGCGGCTCAGGACTTTGCTTCCACGTGCGCGGCTGCTCGGGCCGCGCTACCTTCTCCCAGAGGCCCAGCCCGGGGACACCCTGTCCGAGGATCGCGCTCCGAGTCCCGCGGGGGCCCTGGCCGAGGCATCGGCACAGGGCCACCCGCGGGGGGATCCAGACTCAGGTCTCTCTCCTTTTCTTTTCCCCCGGACTGGCGGGTTGCGGAGGGAGGGGGGGGGGGTGGTGCCGGGGCTGGATCAGCTCCGGAAGGGCCATCGCCTCCACCCCACTGCTATTCCCTGGCCGTGGGGGAGACCTCGGTCTGAGCCCCTCTCCCACGCACGCGCCCCCAAAGTCTGAAGCGCGAACTTGGGGTGTGATTTCGGGCAGGCCGAACGAGAAACTCCGAAACAAGGAAGGTGTGAACGAGGGCGGCCGTGCGGGGCTCGGGAACACCCCAGGAGAGGCTGGGAAGGGACCCGCGGCTCTCCAAGCGGCTCCGGGATGCCCAGCTTGGCTCTTCGGGGGGACCTCTCCCACTTTCTTTCTCGGGGCGGCTGACGGCGATCGGGGACCCCGGTGGCTGCCTCGGGCGTTCTTTCGGGGCTCGCGGTGCCTTCTGCGCGTCCTCACCGTGGGAGGGGCGCGAGGAGAGGGAATCGAGCGGCGCAGGGGTGTCCCCGCGGGTGTCCCGGGCGCCCGCCTTGGGGACACGGGCTTGACTTCACATCCTGACCCCTAAGGCGGCCGGGCGGGCGCGGGGGACGCCGGCTCAACCACACGTGTCTCCCCTTCTCTCCGCAGAGCCCGCGGCCCGACGTGCCGGCAGCCGCGAACCCATGGAGGGCCTGGGCCGCTCGTGCCTGTGGCTGCGCCGGGAGCTGTCGCCGCCGCAGCCGCAGCTGCTGCTCCTGGACTGCCGCAGCCGCGAGATGTACGAGTCGGCGCGCATCGGCGGGGCGCTGAGCGTGGCCCTGCCCGCGCTGCTGCTGCGCCGCCTCCGCCGGGGCAGCCTGTCCGTGCGCGCGCTGCTGCCGGGGCCGCCGCTGCAGCCGCCGCCGCCCGCCCCCGTGCTGCTGTACGACCAGGGCGGGGGCCGCCACCGCCGCGGGGAGGCCGCCGAGGCCCAGGCCGAGGCCCAGGCTGAGGCCGAGGAGTGGGAGCCCGAGTCGGTGCTGGGCACTCTGCTCCAGAAGCTGCGGGAGGAAGGCTACCTGGCATACTATCTACAGGGTAGGTGCCAGCCTGGGGCGGGGGGCTGGGGGGAGGGGGGCGGAATCCCAACTTCAGAGGGGAGTCACAATTCATTTGATCTTGAGCGAGCCCCGCTTTTTTTGGTCTAAAGTGGAGGTGAGATATCCTCCCCTGAGTGTGATCATGGGCAAGTCCTTCCCCCCTTGGGAGCCTCAGTTTCTGAGTCTGGAAAATGGGTAGAAAGTGGCTGATCTGGGCAGGCTCCCAGCCTTCCTGAGCTAGGAATGCTGCCTGCTGCAGCTGCTCAGCCAGGGAGGGGTGGGGGCCAGCGAAACAGGACAAACCCTGCTCTGCAAAGGCAGGAAGGGGGGGGGGAGAGGGAGAGAGAGAGGAGCAGGGAAGGCAGAAGGAGGCCTGAGAAAGCAGAGACCTCTCTCCCCCCACCCCAGTCATGGCAGGGCTGGATGGAAGGGAGACAGGTTGATACAAGCCCACTGGCTCCATGCCGAGCCACACACACACACACACACACACACACACACACACTCGAGAGCCAGGATAGGGACAGGCCTTCTATGAACTTACAGAACCAGTTGTCCCCACCTCCCCGTGGAAGAGGTCACTGGGCCGTGTTTTCTTGCTCCATTCGGGAGGCACAGGGATATAGAAACCCACCCCCCCCCCCATTGCTGCAGCTCCAGGCCCCGCCCCACCCCGGGGACATAGAAGCTCTCTGTAGACCAAGGAAATGCGCCCTTCTTGGGACTTGGGGCCATCCAGGTGGAATGTCCCGCTCTCTCCCGGGCTCCCCTCTTCTTGGGGTCTCCTTTCACCCCTGGAGAGAGCACAGAGGTGGCGGTGACCTGGCCCCTGCCATCAGGGCACTCCTGGTCGAGCCAGAGAGGGAGACACCCAGGCAGAGAGCTCACGTGGGAACCTGTAACTGATGGCTATAGTCCCCCCTCCACCCCCCCACCACCCATACCCCCCCCCCCCCAAAGCTAGCAGCGCATCTGCCCTTGCGCTGGCCTCGGCCTGGCCCTGGAGGTGTGAGGTCCTTTTTGGATGGCTGTGCCTGGGCCCAGGAGTCACAGTGAGCACTTCCTGTCCAGCAAGTAACCAACAGCATGAGGTGAGGGTGGCTGGGCTGCCCATAGCGCACCGCACGGCGATACCAATCTAGAACAGGCTGCAAGTCCCCTCACGGGTCGGGCTGTCTGGGGCTGGTTCCCTGGTCAGGGACCAGATCAGCAGAAACCTCCTCTCTCCCCCTCCAGGTGGCTTCAGCAGATTCCAGGCTGAGTGCCCTCAGCTGTGCGAAAGCAGCCTCAGCAGCCGTGGCGGAGCCAGCATGGCCATGGTGCCCAGTCCAGTAGTGGGACTGGGCAACCTGTGCCTGGGCTCTGACTGCTCCGACGGGGAGTCTGAACCCGACCGAGACTCCATGAGCTGCGGCCTGGATTCCGAGGGTGCCACGCCCCCCCCATCGGGGCTGATACCATCCTTCCCGGTCCAGATCCTGCCCAACCTCTACCTGGGTTGTGCCCGAGATTCGGCCAACGTGGAGAGCCTGGCCAAGCTGGGCATCCGCTACATCCTCAATGTCACCCCCAACCTCCCTAACCTCTTTGAGAAGAATGGCGACTTTCACTACAAGCAGATTCCCATCTCGGACCACTGGAGCCAGAACTTGTCCCAGTTCTTTCCTGAGGCCATTGCGTTCATTGGTGAGTCCTCCCTGCCCTCCCCTTTCTCCCTCCTCCGCCAGGCCTGGCTCCTGGCCTCTCCCATCACTTGACCCTCTCCCTTAGGAGGACACCCCTCCACCTCCCCGCTCGGTGGCCATCCCCAGAGCCCAAAGCCAGGATGGCACCTGTGGGATCAGGCACTGCTGGGGCCAGGAACCCTCGGACCGGGCCAGGGCTACGTGACTTGGAGGGTGGGACGGGGCGGGGGGCTGTGAGGGCCCCCCTGGAAGACCCTGGCCTGCCCCTCACTCTGCCCCCCAACTCTGCCCTGCCTAGACGAAGCCTTGGGCCAGAACTGCGGGGTGCTTGTCCACTGCCTGGCGGGCGTCAGCCGCTCCGTCACCGTCACTGTGGCCTACCTCATGCAGAAGCTCCACCTCTCCCTCAACGACGCCTACGACCTGGTCAAGCGCAAGAAGTCCAACATCTCGCCCAACTTCAACTTCATGGGGCAGCTGCTAGACTTCGAGCGCAGCCTGCGCCTGGAGGAGCGTCGCGCCCGCGGTCGGGGCAGTGGGGGGCAGGAGTCCGCCACCTCGGACCCGCCCTCCTTCTTCACCACCCCCACCAGCGACGGGGTCTTTGAGCTCGACCCCACATAAGGCCCCCATCCAGTCCTGTTCCCCAAGGGGTGCTCCCCACCACCCATGCGCTGCGGGAGTGGGGAGAAGAGGGAGGGAGGGGGGAGGGGGCTTAGCTGTCAGCGGGGAGGAGCGGGAGGGGGGAGGGGGCTGGGGGGGAGAGCACAATACCTCATGTGGGGGCTGTGGGAAGAGGCAGGTGCTGGGAGCCTCCCCAGGGTGGCCACCCGGAGAGACCCGCCCTGCCCACTTGAAACATCCTCGGGAATCTTATTAAATGTGCCTCTGGGCTGGCTGGGACCCCCGGCCTGGCCCTCGCCGCTTTGGGGTGGGACCTCGCTCCAGAAACTGCCTCTTCTGCGACTGTTATTTTTTTCTTTGGGGGGGAGGTCCCCATGCCGAGGGACCATTCCTGGTGGCGGCCTGTCCCCAGGCCCGGGCCCTGCGCTCTGCCAGCTCAGCTGGGCCCTGAGCCCCCCGGTAGTTTTCCCCCTCAGAGAGGGCATGTGCCTGCTCCGGCCACCTCATCTGCCGCAGGGACCTGCCGGCATTTCCATCCCGGTCCCCAAAGGGCTGCTTCTGGGAAGGGGCTCACCACCACCAGTGCAGTCACCTCCCGGCTCCTCTGCCCAGGGCTTCCCAAGGGAATGCAGACCCCAAGGTGCCGCGGCCACCCAGCGGCCACGGGGACAAGCCCGCCTCTGGGTGGCTCCTCGCTGGGCAGCACCGCCGGGGAGATCGGCGGCCCGAGAGCCATTGGGAGGGTTCCCAGCCGCACATCTGGCGCCCTGACTGTTTATCCACTTGACATTTGAAAAGATGCTTTTTTTCCCCCTCTCTCCCAGATGTCTTGACGGGATCACTGGGGCTCTTTGTGACTGAGGGTGGTCAGACTGCCACCGGAGAAGATGGGGTCTCAGAGCGAGAGCTGGAGGAAGGGGAGGGGAAGAAGAAGGCCTGGATTTTGACGCAGCGGGACACACACACACACACACACACACACGCGGCCATTCATTGCAGACACACCCCTCGTGGGCAGTGGGCAGCGGGCGGTGGCACTTAACACACACCCGAGCCTTTGGGACCCACCCCACAGTTGCTTTCTTGAATTGTTCCTGAATAAACGGTTTCTGTAAGACTCTGAACGGAAGGAAGCTGCTTCCTGGGTACCTTGGAGGGTTTGGGGACGGGTGGGGGTGGGGGGAGGCCTAGGGAAGGGGGGGGACATACTGCGCCGCTCAGGGGCTCAAGCGCCCCCCGCCCCCATGTCATCCTTTCCCATGTGGCGCCTGCCTCGGCCCCACCTCTGGCCAGGTCCCCCATTTACTCACGACCCATTGAACCCCTATCTGCCACGCACGGCTAATGACCAGGACGAAGCAGTGAACCAAAGAGGCCTGGCACTCGGAGCCAACTTCCGGGAGGGGGAGGGAGAACACTAAACAGACCCCATAAAGCAGTAAATGGCACCGGACGTCCAGAGTGGCAGAGATCAGGGGAGCAGGGGCCAGAAGTGACCACGGAACGGGCAGCTACGCCCCAAGACTCAGAGCCTTGGCGGGAGGGGATGGGAGCCACGGAAGGGCCTGAGCAGGGGAGGGAGGGACAAGAGCAGACTTGTGTATCCCAGCATCTGTCCCTCTGGCTGATAAAGTGTGGAATTTGGATCGAAAAGGCCCAGCCCGAGCCGGTTTGGCTCAGTGGCTAGAAAGTCAGCCCGCAGGCTGAAGGGTCCTGGGTTGCAGACTCTGTCCCCGGCCCCCTGTTGGGATGCATGCAGGAGGCAACCAACCTGTGTCTCTCGCGCATCGATGTCTCTCCCCCTCCCCGCCTCTCCCCCTTCTTTCCCTCTCTAAAAATCAGTGCGGCCGGGGGGGCGGGGGGGGGATTGGTTATATATATATATATAATACCTTAATTAAAAAATGAAAGAATAAATAAATAAATAAATAAATAAATAAAATCAGTGGGGCCAAAACCGGTTTGGCTCAGTGGATAGAGCATCAGCCTGCGGACTGAAAGGTCCCGGGTTCGATTCCTGTGAAGGGCATGTACCTTGGTTGCAGGCACATCCCCAGTGGGGTGTGTGCAGGAGGCAGCTGATCGATGTTTCTAACTCTCTATCCCTCTCCCTTCCTCTCTGTAAAAAATCAATAAAATATAGTTTAAAAAATAAAAATAAAAATCAGTGGGAAGATATCCTCGGGGGAGAATGGACAACAGCAAGAAAGCCCAAGCTGGAGGCCAGGAGAGCATGTGGCAACCCATTGAGCCACCTGATGTGATCTGTGGGTCTTGCTCCTCCCTGGCCTCCCAGCCTCAGCTCTGAACGCCTGCACACCACGGCTGCGTGTCAGAATCCCCAGCCAGAGAGATGGCGGGAAGCAGAAGGGGGCTGGAAGGCGGGTGGGGGTCAGTGCCGTAGAAGAACACAGCGGCGACTTAGGGAGCAATGTGGTCAGCATGTCCAGGGAAATCGTCCGGGTCCATAACCCCTAAAATGTGGGAGGAAATCTAAAGACGTGGCATGGATGGCTGAGCTGGTAGGAAAATAAGAGAAAGCCTCCGAGGTCAGCAACTCTGAGGGTATTTGTGTCAAGAGGAGTGAGCTCGGGGCTCGCTCCTATCCCTGGGCAATCTGCACCCTATAGACGGCCACATCCTACCGGTAGTTCCAGGATCCTATGAATACAGTCCCTTATATGGCAAAAGGGACTCCATGGATGTGATTAAGTCAAGGCTTTTTTTTTTTTTTTTTTTCACAGAGAGGAAGGGGGAGGGAAAGACAGAAACATCAGTGATGAGAGAGAATCATTGATTGGCTGCCTCCTGCACAGCCCCTACTGGGGATCGAGCCCGTAACCTAGGCATGCGCCCTTGACAGGAATCGAGCCCCAGGCCCCTTCAGTCTACAGGCAGATGCTCTATCCACTGAGCCAAACCAGCCAGGGCAAGTCAAGGATCTTGAGATGGGGAGACTGTCCTGGACTATCTGAGTGGGCCCTAAATGCCATCACATGCATCTTCATAAAGGCAAGGGGGAAGCAGGAACGTGAGAGGAGATGTGATGATGGAACCATGGGCAGCACCAGACAGAGAGAAGACGCTACACTGCTGGCTTTAAAGATGGATGAAGAAAAAGAAGGAATTCTCATCATTTGCAGCAACCTGAATGGAATTGGAGAACATCATGCTGAGTGAGATAAGCCAGTCAATGAAAGAGAAACACCACATGACCTCACTCATTTATGGATAATAAAGAACATTATAAACTGATGAGCAAAAAGATAGATACAGAGACAGTAAAGCAACAAACAGACTGTCAAATTACAGCAGGGAGGGTAGGGAGATCTGGGGGAGATAAGAGATCAACCGAAGGACTTGTATGCATGCAGATAAGCATAACCAATGGACGAAAAACTCTGGGGGGCATATATGGGCGTGGGGGGAGCAACGGAAAGATATGTACACATATAATACCTTAATAAAAATAAAAAATAAAGATGGATGAAGGTGCCAAAACCAGTTTGGCTCAGTGAATAGAGCGTCAGCCTGAGGAATGAAAGGTCCCGGGTTCGATTCCGGTTAAGGGCATGTACCTTGGTTACGGGCACATCCCCAGTAGGGGGTGTGCAAGAGGCAGCTGGTCGATGATTCTCTCTCATGGATGTTTCTAACTCTCTATCCCTCTCTCTTCCTCTCTGTAAAAAATCAATAAAATATATATTTTTTTAAATACTCAAGGCCTGTCAAGGCCTGTCTTTTTAAAAAAAATAATAAATAAATAAATAAATAAATAAATATGGATGAAGGTGCCACAAGCCAAGGAATGTGGGTGGCCTCTAGAAGCTGAAAAGGGCAAAGAACAAAAATGGTTTCATCCCTCGAGCGTCCTCTGCCCTGGCCTGGGTGGCTCAGTTGGTGGAGCATCATCCCGTACACCAAAAAAAGGTTGCAGGCCCTAGCCGGTTTGGCTCAGTAGATAGAGCATCGACCTGAGGGCTAAAGGTTCGGGTCCCAGGTTCGAATCCTGTCAAGGGCACATGCCAGAGTTTCGGGCTCGATCCAACATGTAGGAGGCAGCCAATCAATGATTCCCTCTCATCATTGATGTTTCTATCTCTTTCTTCCTCTCCGAAATCAATATATATATATATATATATATATATATATATATATATATATTTTTTTTTTTTTTTTTTTTTTTTTTTTTAAGTTGCAGGTTCAATCCCCAGGCAAAGCGTGTAGGGGAGGCAAATGTTTTCTCTCTCTCTCTCTCTCTCTCTCTCTCTCTCTCTCTCTCTCTCTCTCTCTGTCTCTCAAAAAAAAAATCAATAAAACCATATCCTCGGGTGAGGATTTTAAAAACCATACATCCCTGCCGACGCCTCGATTTTAACTCAGTGAAATCTATTTTGGATTTCCATAACAGTCCGATAATAAATTTGTGCTGTCTTAAGCCACTAAGTTTGCAATCATTTGATACAGCAGCAACAGAAAACTAATACAATTGGTGACCTAGAAAAAAAATACCCCACCGAAAGAGGCAAGGATGCTTGCATATCTTGACCTTGGATCTGGGTGGAAGTGGGGGGGGAAAAAAAAAAAAGGGAAAATGATGACCTGAGAATTTATAGCCACAAGCTGCAATTTTAGTTGCGCGTGGTCTAGGCAGAGCGTAGTGGATGCGTGAGAATGTCTCTCTCGCAGGGACTGAGGGAGAGCAATCTGGTTGGGGGGACAGCTTCTAGATTTGTCTTGAAGCTGCATCTGATTAGCTTGCACACAGATTTTACTTAGACTGTGACAGTCCCATAAAAATAGAAAAGTGTAAAAATATATTTTTTAAAAGTTCTAAATGAAGTGGTCCAGAGGGAGGATTGCCCAACAGCGCCTGGCATATAAGCAAGCACAAATCCTCTGTCCTTTGAATACAGACCTCAAAGAAATTCTAGAACATATAATGGAAATTTCTGAAATATATAATGGGAAAAACACACACACACACACACACACACACACACACACACAATGTACAAAGAAGCAAGCCACCGTGCGTGAGAGAAGCTTATAAATGTAAATATCCATC